TGAAATGGTATGAATATGTTGTTGCTTCATGATACATAAATTTAACATATTAATTATTAAATTTAAGGGTTAAATATGTTTTTAGTCCCTATAAATATGACACATTTTAAGTTTAGTCCCTACAAAAGTTTTTTTCAAACTTTGATCCTCATAAAGTTTTCTGTCTCCAAATATGTTCCCTCCCGTTAGTTTTCACTAACGGAAGCTTATGTGTCATGCCACATGTAATAGTATCTTTGATTACATGTGATATGTTTTATTTCAATTCGCCAGCGTGGAAAATGCAGATAAGAAAATCTCGTTAAATGATGTAAATGAAACACGTAGATAAGATAAGTCAACTTCTAAAGTGTGCCCTAGCAGAAGTTTCTATTATTTATGTATTGCAGGTGCGCATCAGTCAAGGAACAACAAACATTGATTTGCGTCATTCAAAGAAGAAATTAGGTTGTTTGTAGTGGTACCTAAGCGACTTCTTTGGAGTGGTCCCAATAAGAAGTTCCTGAGAAGGTGCGCAAGTGGTCCCAGGTAAGATGCAACTGTCTCCTCTATGTTTTCTCATTTGAATATCATATGTGTTGCTTTCTCAGTGGTTCCGTATTATTCAATTTGTTATTCTGTTGTATAATAAGTTTGTTATTATGTTGTATAATAAGTTTGCCCGCTTTGTTATAAAAAATTAGGGTAAATCATTTTTACATTGTAATAGTAAAATTTAAACGTAGGTTTAAATGTTGTGTACAAGAAATGGATAGGTTCAGGGTTATATTTTATTCAAAGGGTTGTTTCGTAAAAGACCCTAACATAAGATATGAATGAGGGGATGTGTATTCTTGTAATGGTCAAGATCCTGATTATCGGTCTTTCTTTGAAGCATGTGACCTAGTTAAGTTGATTGAACTTGAGTTTGATATAGGCGGTGTTAAGATGTGATAGAAACATGATGAAGGATCATTTTAACACGACTTAAAACCATTTAAGGATGATGGAGATGCTTCTGAGTTAGCCATGTATGCTATAGGAAATAAGTATGATATTGAGATATTTGGTGAGACCAAAGTTGTAGGAGAGGATACCTTTATGGATAGGTTTAAAGAAAGGGTAAAGGGAATCAAATGTGATGAAGATATTGACAGGTTAATTGAAGAAAGTGATGATTCTAGTGATGAATCTGTTATAAGAGTTCACTTTGATGATAGTGAGGAGGAGAGGATGAAAGGTTTTGATGAATGCCTTGATGAAGTGTTTGATAATGGAGTTAAAGTAGAACAAAAAGATGGACCTATTGCAAATGAAGAGGGCACTGGTCATGTAGATAAGAAGACGTTTATAACAGAAGAGATGGGTAAGGAACATGTCACTGAGGATGCCTACATGACTGATGAACTAGACAGTGGTGGTGATGATGACAACTCTGATGAAAGGCTTGGTGTAGTCAGGTTTAATCAAGAAGAATCTTTAAGCAAGAATTTTGTATTCAAGGTGGGAATGGAGTTTTCTTCTTTGAGGCAGTTTAAAGATGCTATCTTAGAGTATAATTGTTTGAATGGTAGGGATGTTAAGTTTGAAAAAAATGATGCTAACAGATGTAGGGCAGTATGTAAGAATAAAAAAATGTGACTATACATTGCTGTGTAGTAGAGTTTTAACATCCACCATATTTAGGATTAAGACTTTGTTTGCAAAGCACAAATATGGAAGACAGTTCTTCGACAAAAGTCCTAAAGCAGAATGGGTGGCCAAGGTAATTGTTGATGGATTGAAGAACAACTCTAGGATGAGGTTAAGTGAGGTAGTAGCAGATGCCACACAAAGGTATGCAACATAAATTCCAGGATGTTGAGCATTCAAGGCAAGACAGATTGCAAAACACATTGTTGAAGGAGATTCTTGCAATCAATTTAATCTTTTATGGTCCTATGCTGCTGAGTTAAGAAGGGCTTCAGCTGGGAACACTTTCAAGATCAACACCAGTGTTTCTAGTGCTGGCTTGAAACCTATATTTAAGAGGTGCGATATGTTTTTTGATGGGACCAAGAAAGCTTTGACAAAAGGCATGCAGGCCTTTCATTGGACTAGATGGGTGTCATTTGAAACACAAGTATGGTGGTATACCACCCAAGCTAGTCAAGACTTGCCCACCCAGCCCAGTGAAGAATTGCCAAACCAGGTCACTCAAGACTTACCTACACAAGCAAGTCAGACTAGAAAGGTCAATTTGGCACAAAAAAAGGGGTATTGTTTAACTTAAATCTTACATTTTTTTGATTAAGAAGGAAAGAGGGAAAGGATTTTGTCTATGAAGGAAAGGCTACTGTCGAGGAAGGAAAGAGTTATGTCAATGAAGGAAAAGCTTTTGTCCATGAAGGAAAGGATACTGCCGAGGAGGGAAAGAGTTATGTCAATGAAGGAAGGGCTTCTATCAATAAAGGAAAGGCTACTGTCGAGGAGGGAAAGAGTTCTGTCAATGAAGGAAAAGCTTCTGTCAATGAAGGAAAGGCTATTGTCAAGGAGGGAAAGGCTAGTATCAATGAAAGGCTAGTGTCAAGGATGGAAAGGCTAGTGTCAATGATGGAAAGTCTTCTGTCAAGGAGGATATGGCAACTGGTCCAACTGATTAAGATGCAACTGTCACTAAGGAAATGGTAAGTGAACCATGTGAGCCAACTGATCAAGATGCAACTGTCAATGAGGAAATGGTAAGTGAACCATGTGAGCCAACTGATAAAGATGCAACTGTCAATGAGGAAATGGTAAGTAAACCATGTGAGCCTACTAAAAGGGACCAACCTATACGTTCCTCATGTTTGGATGAAACTCTTACTGTATTATTAGGAGAGGTCTTGGATATTCAACCTTTAAGGGTTGAAAAATCACCTCTCAAGGCAACTGCACCAAGGCAAAGTAATGTCAAGGTTTTCTTTGGTAAACAACCCAAAGTGTGCAAGAACAAGCCTTTCAATCCACTTGATATTACAACAAATCTTTCAAGTCCAACTTCTAGTGAACCACCTAAGTTTAAAATCCAGAGCAGGTACAGGACACAGACTAATGTTGCAGTAGAAAAAAGGCATAGTGAAAGGTTGAGGACCTTGAAAACAAAGAACATTCTTGGCCCTAGAAAGAAACTTAATGTCCCTTTGGATCTAACTGAAGAAGACAACACAATTGGCAAAGGTCTAACCCAATGAAGCAGTAGTTTTTTGCAGATGGATTTGTTTAGGAACAAATATTTTGATGTAATGTACTAATGTACTTTTTTGCTCAATGTGATGCACTGATGTAGCCTTTTGAACAAATCATGTTCTTTTGATGTAATGAAAATGATGTACTGTATTGATCATTTTCTTGTACTGATGTACTCTTGTGAACCTGTGAAGGTACGTTAATTTAATGAAATCTGTTGAGAACAAATCTATCTTGTGAACATGTTATGGTATGCTAATTGTGAACCTGTGAATATTCTGTTTTGATCAGTTTCTTGACTGATAACAGATCTTTATGGTAAAATCTGTTAAGTCCATATGGTTTCAATGTGAAAATTAAAAATTATTTTGCTTTAAACTTATGGCTCATATCATGACAAACTTATATGTCAATGTATGTCTAAATTTTAAGGCCACCTAATAGGTTATATTTATACAGTCAATTATATGTTAGTTAGACATACAGAATAATACTAATTGACTGAAACTATGTTCAATTTTATACAGTCAATTATAGTTATACAATCAATTTCATACCGTCAATTATAGTTATACAATCAGTTTTATCTCATATTATGTCCAATTTATAGATCAAATTGTGTCAAAACTATGTTCCTTGACTGAAACTACAAAATGAACATACCAATTAAACAAATACTAAATGAATTACATAAAATTCCAATTTATATTTCATACCAATTTAACATTACAAAACCAGATTAGGTTACATTTCACAACATACCACTTAGACAAGATTAACACTTACATAACATTACAGACGATTACACCTAATTAAAAAATACAAGTTGACCAAGACTGAAACTACAAGACATATTGCCTTCAGCTTTCCCCAAAATGCCTTTGCCTTAATCTTCATCTTCAACCTCTTGTTCTTCTTCATGGATGATTCGTAAAGCTCCTTCAAAGTTTCTAAAGCTTGCATTTCCCTCACCTTACTCTCATCCTTCCTCCATTCTGAATCTATGCATTTCTCATCATCTTTTTCTTATGTAATTTCATCATCTCAAATAAATAAATTGCAAGTACCCTCGTTTTTCAATACAGACATCTCCAAAACAACCGACCTTTGTTCTTTCCGTTCTTGCACATGTATAAAATCATAACACCATTACATCCACACCTTTTCACTCCACGGTTCGTCAGACTCGTTGAATAGTATGAAACTACTTTGCTTAACCTAGATGAAGACGACATATTTCTAAGATGGAGGAGGAAGACGAATAAGAAGAAGAAGAACGCTTAACCTATATTGAAAGGAATAAGAAAAAGAAAATGAAGAATGTGAACAATTGGAAGGAATGTGGTGTTATGGAGGAAAACGGTGAACAAAAGAATTAAGGTTCATTCAATTTGTCTCTATTATTTATGATAACAAAAAAATTATTTCAAATCAAACTAATGTGACCATGACAAGGATTCCCGTGGCATGCCACATCACCCTCTGTTAGAGAAAATTAACGGGAGAGACCATTTTTTTGGATAAAAAATTTTGTGAGAACCATTATTCGAAAAAAAAAATTTAAAAAGACTAAAATTAAAAGTTAACATATTTATAAAGAACTCATACATATTTAATCCTAAATTTAATATAAAAGAATATTAAATAAGAATTGTTTCCCTTTCCTTAAAAACAATCCCATTCCAAACAAAATCCACCTCTCTAATATCTACAAACCAAATTCCAAGCTCTAGTAGTTCATATCTCTAAGCTGCAGATTCTATTCCAATCCACAACAACAACAACCTTTGAGCAACCGTTCTGAGAAATCAAGAATGTCCAACAACAACAACAACAGTACTTCTGGTTTGATATCTTGCGACAAACTCGACAGAGTTGCCAGCTGGGTCGGCACTAACGTGGCTTCTGCTTTCTTTGCTTCCTTAGAACGCTGTTCCTGCATCAACCTTAGCACCACCGACACTGAAGACGACAACATCAATGATGATGATCGTCCTCTCATGCTTACCAAACCTGTTTCTCATCTACCCTTTGAGGGCCCCACCACAACTCTTCCGTCAAAATCTAAACTTCCTTCTTGATCTCTTCATATCCCTCTCAATTCTCTTATGGGCTTTGTAATTGTAACTGTTTCTGTTCTTGGGGTGCTCAGTTATTCCTTTTTTCATGAAAAAAATTTAGTCTTTCTTTTGTGTGTGTGAGGAATTTGTTGGATCTTGTTACGTTTTGTTTAATGTTAATGAAATTGTTATGCTAGTATATCAACTGAATTTTGTGTTTTATTTCTTGATTTGTTAGTTTGTGTTTTTGTTTAATGTTGATTTGTCATTATTGCAAACCTTATAAAACCGGTTGGTAAAGTGAGAGGTGTCACTCTATATAAACTATCTCAATGCTCTATCTCTAATCTATATGGGACTTTAGGATCTTCCTAATACAACGTGAATGTAGTCTGCGGTTGAGAAAACTACCACATTAACAATATTACCGCTGTATTTGTAATTGCGACCTGTAATTTAAAATTATAGGTTGGAACTGACACTAGTTAGTAACGGTTAGAGAAAATCAATGAAAAAGAGTAACGGTTGAATTTTTACAACAACTGAATTGAGCCAAATGGAAGAAGAGTATGATTTGTTTAATGTAATAGCACTCCTTCAAATTTGAATATCACAAATGATTAATATGCAGCAATGGTTATAATTAACTTTAATAGTCATTGAAGTTGATTGAAGGTGAGTTAGTATTAAAATGACTTCTCAACAAAAATCTTCGTATCATTTTAATGACTTTATTCCTATTTTTATGCATCATGCCCATTTGAACAATGGCAGACCAAATGTCTCACTTACAACTTACAATATATGACAACATTTATTGTTACTTGTTCTCTATTGGTTGTTTCCTAAAATAACAAAGCACATTTTGTGTCCAAAAGCTCATAGTAGTTTATTTGTCATAGTCATGATTTCTTTCTTTCCCTATGGTTTACTTTTTCAAATTATTATTCAGATATTAACTATTACAATGATAGCTATATATAGATTTATTTATTTTGTTTGCAAAACTTGAAAGTCCTATGTGAACAACTTAATAAAAACCTATCAATTTCATTTACATCCATTACCTCAATTGTATTTTCCTCAACCCACCTTGTTTCCTAATAAAATGTTGCTTATACTTCTTAACTAATTAATGTAACTAATTTGTATGTACCTAACAACCTTAAGGTTGAAAGATAGATGGAAAAATCTTAGCCCCCTAATAAAGGTGGAAACTATCAAAGTTTGACTATTGAAAGGATAAGATAGGTAAAAGCCAAAAACCATAGTATCAATGTCTAAAGGAAGAAGTTGAAACCATCATCCAAATGTTAAAATACTTAACTATTAAGATGTCACCATTCAAGCCTTTTAATCACTTGATAAAACATGTATATTTTTAAGCACCTAATAAAGACATGTGATAAAAATAAGCCAATTGAAGTTGAACAACAAGAAAACAACAAAAGGAAGAAACTCATGAAAAAAAAGTATAAAAGTGAAACTTTACAATTTTAATAAAAAAATAAATTTTATTATTATAAAAGGAAATGGAAAGAGAAGTAATATTTTATATAATTTATTTAAAATATTAAAAGTCTACAATTAACTTTCTTAGAGGTTGGTGTTAAATGTAACTAATAAAAACATGTTTATTCAAAATTTACAGGATATAAATTAACTATGCTTTGCATATTAAATATTAGATGCACCCAATAAAAGTGGAAGTGAATGTTTATGACAATAGTTTTTTTTTTTTTTTTTTTTTTTTTTTTTTTTTTTTTTTTTTATGAACTTGAAAGGTAAGTGTATAAACATAAAGAAATTTAATAATTTTATTTAATTTTTGTTTGCCTTCATTTAACATATTATATATATATATATATATATATATATATATATATATATATATATATATATATATATATATATATATATATATATATATATATATAGTGGGGATCAACATACTCCAAAAGTAAGTTTTTTTAACTTATTCCACATCATAATCTTTAAATTGAATCTAATCTAGTGATTAAATTAACATTTTTACTTATAACCATTCGATTAAATCTAATTTAAAGGTTATGATTCTGGAGTAAGTTATAAAAACTTACTCTTAGAATAAGTGGATCCTCACTTATATATATATATATATATATATATATATATATATATATATATATATATATATATATATATATATATATATATATATATATATATATATATATATATATATATATATATATATATATATATATATATATATATATATATATATATATATATATATATATATATATATATATATATATATATATATATATATATATATATATATATATATATATATATATATATATATATATATATATATATATATATATATATATATATATATATATATATTTCTTTAGCTAGAATCTTGGTGACTCACTGCTTAACAGTTATGCACGAGTTATGGTAATATTTAGTGAAAATATCTTTTAGAACACTTAGTCATTTCTATTCCCTATTTTTTATTTGAGGACTGTCGTACTTCGAAAAAATATGATCTTCGTGATGCGTAAAACGGGGTTGCACGATCACGGATGGACTTAAGAGAGTCGTCATCGAACTTTATTTATTCCTATGAGGAGAAAGGAAAAACATCGAGAAAACCCACGGATGAAAGGATATGGTATATTCATCGCAACCATATTGGGTTCGGAAGTCAATTATGTAAGGAGAAGATATTAGCACCCCATACATCCATCGCACTCGATGGGAACCATCTAAGTTGTCTAGGCATGAAAGAGTATTTGAAATCTTAAAGCTTGCAAAGGGGAAATTGGATGATTACTTGGAAAAAACAAAAGGTTTTTACTATTGAGTTCGTCTGAGTTTTGCAACCCAGTGCCTAAGTATCACAGAGGAAATTAGAACTCCGTGGTTTTTGTTGAAAAAGTTTGGATTGTTGTGTATTTTTTATGGACGTTGCTAAGTTCGCATTCTAGCAGTTAGAAATGTTGCCGTGTGCGGTAAAACGGAAATAACATACATTTTTTAAAAGGTTTTAAAAGGAAAAGCCCGAAGGTAAAAATGGTTTGAATTTGTGAAGTGTTCTATTAAGATTTGGAAAAAAAAAAGGTTAGAGATACATACTATACTAAAGAGTATGACAATACGAGCGAGTACTTTGTACAAATGAGCCAAGCGTCTCACATACAAAATACCCTAAGAAGAGGTAAGGAAAACTCCCGCTCATATTCTCCCATATACTTAAGGCTCATGATGCATTGTACGTATCATATTAGTTAAACATTTTTGTGTTTTTTGATTAAGAAAAGATTTTTTTTTTTATAAAAAGAAAAAGAAGTGAAAAACGAAAAGGGAAATTCTATCCTAGTGTTGTCATGCATATATTGATCCTAAAGTCTAATCTTGATTCAATTTATCAAAGATAAAATTGATAAATGGAGATCACGATCAAACAATCAACCAATAGCATCACGTATCAAAAGCAGTCCTCAATCATATGTGTCAAGATCAAGGCGAAAATCAATAAGGAAATTCATAAAAAATTAGCCAAGAAAAATAACCAAAGTTAAATCATAATCTAATTCCAAATTCGATTGAAATTAAGACCAAAGCTTATTAAGAACAAAATTAAGCATCTAATCAAGAATTAACTCCAATGTCAAAATCAAAATCTAAATAAAATTAACACCTAAGCAAAAAATTAAGATTAATTATGTTTTCAATCAAAATTAATATCTTAATTAACATTAACCTTACCATATTAAAAAATTGTTATAAAATTTAAAAGAAATAAAACAAAAAATCTTACTTTAAAAAAAGAAAAAATAGGGTATAGAAAATAAAATGGTGGTGTGTAAAACCATTGGGCTAGCATCTAAAGTCCATTTTCCATTAAAAAAGAGAGTTTCTTAATCCACCCCTTGATACACTTAGGCATCTAACGAAATTTCTTTTATGCCCCTGCTTCCAAAGATACACATTCAGACGCAACCTTTTTTTTCTTTACGCTAGATGCTTTCGGAGATGCATCTAAGGAAAAAGTTCTGGAGATACAACTTCAAAATCTTATCAGAACAGGTTTTTAAAAAAAAATCAAGTTTTGTTGGTCGCAGATGAAAATTAACTGTTGCAGATGAATATAAAATGACATACATCCGTAAATAAAATAATATGATATATAAAAGAAGTAATATGGTATATCAGTGTCATAAAAAGTATAGTACATAAAAAAAAACATCACAGTCACTACTGTGTGCACCTGACTGCCTCGTCTCTGCCGCCTCATCTGCCTCTCCGCCTCATCGACCGCCCAGTCTGCGTCCTCAGTCATCGATCCCACCCATCTTGGCGTGATGCCTGTGGTACATAAGTGTCCATGCTGCCACCGCAATGATGTCATCCAATACACGCCTATGTTTAGACCCCTCAAGGAAGAAACTAGAGGCAATGTCGGCCCGCCGCATCTCTACTATCTCACGACAGCGAGGCAGGACATCTTGAGTGTGGTCCAACTAAGATTACTACTCCTCTAAAATCTCTTGATGAGCTGGTCTGGATGGTGATCCCTTGGAAGTGGGCACCATGTAGGGTGTGATACGGTGAAGAACCACATGATGTAGCCATCAACGCAGTTCCAGTCTGTCGGTGCTCTGGTCGCCCGAGCCTCGTTAGGTACCATGTGCCTCTGGTAGTCAGCATAGACCTCATCTATCTGTATATGGGTCAAGTCAAGAGGAGCGAAGACAGTTGGGTGTCTGGGAATGGTCTGAGTGTAGTCGAATTGCCGCATGACGTGCTCGGGAAAATATGGAACAGTGATGGTCGAACTACATGCCAACCATCCTGAGAATAAAGAAATATCGTCAAACGGGAACATCACACGATGATCAGCATAGACATTGTACCAAATGTCCTCAGCAGCCAAGCGGTCGAGATAGACTCTGTAAGGGTCGACCGCCTGGTTCCTCCTGAGCGGGAGAAACGCACAGGCACTCGACATCTGCTCTGTGTAATTA